GAGAGAGAGAGAGAGAGAGAGAGAGAGAGAGAGAGAGAGAGAGAGAGAGAGAGAGAGAGAGAGAGTGGGGGGAGCACGCGAGTGAGAGCGACAGAACGCGCGCGCGAGACAGACCCACGGATAAAAGGGAAGCAGGCAGAAGCGCTGCGAATGACTATATACAGCTCTAACTATTTCTCTCTCTCTCTCTGTGTGGGAGAGAGATAGAGAGAGAGAGAGAGAGAGAGAGAGAGAGAGAGAGAGAGAGAGAGAGCCAGCCTGTAGTTTGACAGTGATGGATCTGCCACACAGGGGCCCGATTGCCGACAACACCGCTAACTGTGCAGATAATTAATTTTTATTGGATTTAAATTCATCTCACTCGACTGATCCTTGGAGATCAACCGCCGAAACTGATTAAATTAGCTTTGCTCTGTTCGTGCAGACCTCGTTACACTGTCTCATCAGCATGGCACAGGATCACGGCTACAAAGCAAGGTAGCCGGTAATTCCATAAAGCGCCGACAGAGGGAGTAAATGCAATAATACGATCGCGTAAACGCTCCATCTGGGATAACCCGTAGCTATGCGCGTACACCTATACGCGTTTATTTCCGATTTTTGAATGCGGGTGCTTGAATAATTACGAATGCGCATAACTGCTGGTGTTTCCTGCTGTAATCGATCGCGTATGCGTGCACGCCGCGTTTGTAGACGAGAGGGACACACCTCCGTGTCCATCTCTGTACTTGCTGTGCGACACAGGGTTGCGTTTCGGGGCGTAGGAAGTGTTTTTTCAGCTGTACGTCGGAGCATCTGCGCTTATGGCAACTGCTTTTTAATGACCGTTTCATTTCTAGTGTAATAGTGCGAGGAGGGTTAGCTGCAGGAGCAGCGGCACCTGATGGCGGTTTATGGCATTACTCGCTCTTAAATTGCCCCATAAACCGCACTTTTCGATCAATCTTATTCGCCCACGAGAAGATGACATCTCGTAAAATTTTGTAAAGCGTGACCGGATTGGTCAGCGCGACCTTAAAGGCATCGGCTCGGCGTAAATCACGCTTTATTGCGGTCATTTGTTGAAATTGTGCGAGTATGCGTGACCAGACGCGGTATTTATTGCGACGAACCGAAGGCAAATGTAAAAGAAAGAAACGGCAAGTATCTGTTTATTGTTGGAGGCTCTTCACTTGTGCTCTAGTAAGGAAGCGCGAGAAACGCTTTGTTTTTCCTCGGGCTGTACATGCTCAAGGACCTGAAAGTCGCACTGTTCTATGAAAGCGAGTGGCAGAGGAGCAGGCTATAATCATAGCCGCCTAGACTGCGTCGGGGTGGTCCGCCACTTCGAAGAAGACATAATTTATTGTTTGCAATTAAACAACAACAAACGGGCGATGAGGTAGAAATACGTGCAATTAACAAGAGTCTAACAAATTCCGGTTGTTAGCTATTGTTATACACGTACTTACGTATGCAGACACACAAACGCCACGCCACGCACGCACGCACGCACGCACGCACGCACGCACGCACGCACGCACGCACGCACGCTTGGGCATACGCAAGTATATGTAAGTGTGTGTGTGTGTCGTGTGTGTGTCGGCTGTGCCGTGCGCGCGTGCTTGCTTGCTGCTAGCGCGCGCGCGCGCGCCAGCCGCGGTCGTCGTGCGTGTAGTGTGGGCTGTGTGGTGTGTGTTGGTGTGTGTGTGCGTGTGTGTGTTGTGTGTGTGTGTGATGGTGTGTGTGTTGTGTGGTCGTGCGTGCGCGCAAGCGTGCTTGTATTCTTCGGCGTATGTGTGACCTGTAACCCTGTGTATTAACCCGTCAATCGCGCTAAACGTTTTTAACTTCTAACAGCATACGTTATTCCCATTGCAGATGGCGCCCGCCAGTGAGGTGACGGGGACTCGTCCTGATGGGCAATACGCGGGCGAGGTACGACCGCCTCTGCGACGCGGTGTCCCGCGGGCACGGCCTCGCCTCTCGCCTGCACGCCGGCAGCGAACACGATCATGTGAGCCTGTGCACGGAGGGCCCACCGGTTTTCCGTGAGGCGCGGGCGCGTGCGCCGCGCGCGCCGCAGCGACGTGTCCGGACAAGCCGCGTCGCGGTCGGCCGTGCAAGTGACGCGCGACAGCGAGTGTCAGGCCGAGCGCGACTACTACTTCGACGCGCGGGGCTGGACCGTGCCGCCGTGCGACCATGTGTCTCCATGGTACGGCGCTACGCGGCCGTGCGGCGCGCGACACAACACCATCTGCCGCAAGTGTCGAACGGCACTTCTCGGATATCGTTTCAGCAAGACGGACGCCCTGCCGGCGTGCCAGCGTTCTGCAGCGAGAAGCACATCATGCTCAGCCTTGCCGAACCGATACAGGAACGATCTGCCTCGGTGAGCCTACCGCGCTAGGCCATCCTGCTGCCACTGTAGGCGGCTAGAAGAAAGAATGAATCGTAGATAAATCACCGATTCTAATCGCGATGGGCCATCACGTTACGCGATCAGGCTGAACAGCTTCGCATGGTTATTAGAGGATCCTCGCGCCCTGCCTGTCCTCGCATTTATTAGACAGGGAAAAAATAACCACTAGTCCACGGACTTTTTAGGGGATGTACAAACATGTGAATTTCAAAAACTTTCTCATACCTATTTACACGCTTAGGGCGCGCCCTACTACAGCAGTTTGTGCTTAATTCAGTCCGCCAGGAAGCGCTTGTCGCGTTAGAGCGTAAAAATTAACTGAATTTATAATCTTCTTGCGGAAATTTTTCGTGTGACACTGAATGTACTATATACATGTAGGTATACTCCAGCGGCGCACGCGATTTCTGGAATAATATATGGTCCCGCGAGAAAGCGTAGGTTAGCTGAGCTACCGTTGAGTCGCCAAAGCCAGGAGCGCATGAACCTGAATGTACTCCTTTTTTTTTTTAGTTTAGCAGCGCATGCAATTTCAAGCGCGCATAGATATTCGCTAACCTACTACTACGTTTTATTCCGTAGATAAAGACATGCCCGTACCTGCGCATCGGCCCGTCGACCCAGCCTCCGAGTTCGCGCGCTGAATCTAGCGCCCTCTGGTGGGCACCCACGACAATATCATTTCCACTGTACTCGCTTTGCTGGGTCTTCGTCATTTGCCCGGACACAATAGTCTACGGTTTGCCGATCAAAGAGAAGTGCAGATTCCACAAACACCCAAAAAGCCGGACGCAGGCGACTGGCCGAGCCCTGCGCTTTTGTAACAACTGTGCTGAATGTTAGCAGGGCGCCACCGCAAGCACAAGCGGGCCTCGGATTCAGATAGCGTATCTACCATGGAGAAGGAGTTCATTGGCAACCGCCAAGGTGACACTGCACGATCGTACGTACGACCGTAACGGTAACCGTAACGTAACGTAACGTACGTAACTACTATATATATATATATATATATATATATATATATATATATATATATATATATATATATATATATATATATATATATGTATATATATGACATATAATATATTATGTCACTGTTAAATTACATTTGAAATTTGTCACTTGTACCAGCTCAGGAATAACGAAAACCCTTGGATCGCCCTAAAGATGCTCTGGTAGTATGCGAAGATATTTAAACTCATTTTTCAGTGTTTCCACCTATTTTAATGGGTTATGTGTTTTCATGTTAGCAGCTGTAACACCGAGCATGAAGGTTAGGCACCTTCCCAAGGCGCGCAAACATGATCTGGAGACGATGCTGAATCCTGCCAGGCTAGACTATAAAGACTGGCGCGGCTTGGCGAAGGAACTAGGTAAGATACACGATCACAGCTTTTCGATTATCAAATTATTTGAATTTTCTTATTCGACTATTGATCGAATAACTCGGCTTTTTTGTATCGCGTAACGAATGTCGCGAGCAATTTGACAACACCAGAAGATAACAATCGGCGTAGAAAGATGGGCTGAGTTAGCGGAGAAAGAAGGGATGAGCGGAGAAAGAAGGGATGAGTTAAGATTGTAATGTAAATGATATCACCTGCTAATTGGGAATTTATTGGATCTAAATATCTTATTTACACGAGTATTAAAATTAATCTTGTAACTTATTGTACGCGACATAAAACGCTTGACACACCTGCACACACATGCATGCACGCATACACACAACAACGCGAGCGCACGTACACACGCGCACACGCGCACGCACGCATGCATTTACAAAACGATGCCACTCCTGGCGTACACAGGGCTCAGGTGAGAGCGGGAGGCGGCGCCACTCTCCTATTCTAATCGGTATTTTATCGAATACATCGAATACAATTCTCGGAAAATTTCTTCCTGTAGAGTAAATACGCACTATAACCACGCGCGCGTACGCAGGTCGCGCACGTACGCCCTGCTCCTTCGTGCACAATGTTTTATACGCTAACGACATTTGCCGATAGGTATTACACGGAATTCGATTTCTAACCGAATTCGGTTATATGAGTTACGGTCAGTTATATCACAGACGTTCCACCTACAAAAATGTACAACACTGAATCAGCCATTAGGAGACGCGCTTATTCTAAAGAGGCTAGCGTTCTACGTGTGTTAATTCGTTCATTCACGTCAGCACTGTCCATGTTCTGCTGGTCTTGGAAATGTCTAAATGAGACATACTTCTAAATACACCTCCTATTTGGATAATATAAGGAGACAATAATGACAAATTATTCGTTTAAATCAATTATCAATTAAATTCTGTCATTATTAACCCATAATATTACTAAATCATGTACTTTGTTTATTGTGCTCAGTAGAGTTACAAATAAAGTGTAATACTCGAATGTGGTTGTTTTATGACATAAGTTAGTAACGTATAGGTTGAAGAAGGTTATAGAATAACTAGATATGAAGGTCAATGAATGCGATCGAGTTCAAAGGATCTGAGCAGCTCTCATTCACGCACCGCCTTGTTGTCTACAGGTTATGACGCGGCCGCCGTCGCTAGGTTTGAACGCCGCAGCAACAAGCATGGCCCCCTACGGCAGCTGTTTGCCGACTGGGGCAGACTCGACTCGGCAGTCGTGCAGTCGCTAGTAAACTCACTGCAGAAGATCGGTCGATACGACGCAGCCTCCACGTTGATGACTGAGCAGTACACGCACCCGACAGAAATCTTACGCGGTTACGGAGAACGGGTGTAGTCTGTAGATGGTAGTCGAGTATTGTCAAGATGTTTAGTCTGTAAATGTTATAGGAGTCGCGGCAAGAGGGTAAATATGGTACAATAGTACAATGGTCACGCTGAGTGGATGTTGTCTATCAATGTCATTGGTTCACGCAAGCAAGATCATGCGACAATCGTGTTACTTTTCTCTATCTGTCTCTGTTGCTCTAGCTGTTCGCGCATGTGCGTGCTTATTATCATAATTTGATTATTGATGCGGATCAAAACACCCACCGTGTAGTAAATCGTTGAGGTACGTTTTCTCTCTGCACGCATTTTCTGTACTAATTGTATGTACTGAATTCAATGGCCTTGGCAAATTAAATAGATAGGCATATCTTTTAGACATTAGTTCTGATTCTGGATTTGTAACGAAGCAAGTAAATTTTCCAATATCCCTAGTCCAACTTGAAGAAGAACACAACCAGAAGAATGCCATTTGGTGTTCGATAATAGTAACTGAATCTCCCATGTGCACGTTATCATTTGGTAATTAAAAAAAGTAACATTGTTACTGTAACAGATATTCCTAGAATAGAAATGAAAATGAAGCCAGTGTTACGTTTAACTATAGTTTATGTAAATAATGTAAATAATTTTTTGTACATTTATGTATTATGTATGTTATGTACAGTGAACTGCATGCCGTTTTTCTAAACTATTATATACAAACCGCTGAACCTATCGGGTATATTATTATTACGTTTATCTCTAGGGCAATGTTATAAAGACTAGCATTTGTCATCCTTTACCACGTTCTCCAATAGCATTCAGAGACGGCCTCAGCAATGACAAACTCTTCTATCTGAATATCTAATTGTAATATTTGTATTGGGTCCGTTAGAATAAACTAAGTTATCAGCTACCGTGCGTTATTCTGTGTATGTTATTATAGAGAATAAGATTGCACCATAAACCTCATCTACCATGCAGAAATATACGGAAGAGGTCTGTGTTTCTCAAGATGCTCGAGCAGACAAACGTAGATGCACTTACATATAATTAACAGGCATATAAAACTTTACAATGCACTCTATCTGGTAATATAAATATCAACACAGTACATATAATATTATGTCTACCTGTATACGTGATTGCAATCCTGATGCAAAAAGCGCACGCCGCGTCGTGTTGGGATAATCGGTAATATTTTGTAACTCGCCGTGCACGATGTCGATACCGCCCAGTAGTTCATCAAGATCGAAATCTTTTCTTTATTTAATCAAGTCGGTGTTTTATTCAATAGTTACCTACGCATATTGCTTGACACAATGCATCACATTGTTGATGACCACGATGCACACTGTGGTCATAATCTATATCGCATATTCCAAATTCATCAATTATTGGTACTGCGGTAATTATTATTATTATAAATTCCTATATCAACATTTTTCAATGATAACATTACTACGCGATAGACATAGTAGCGCCGTAATTGGGATTAAGATAATTTGTTAATAGTGTCCAGAAGTATGATCGGCTTCTAGTGATTAGTATGCCGGTAACAGTTACCGTCTCACTTCTGAATTTGCCAACAGATGGCGCTGGCGTGTGCCTCGCGCCTCTTGCTTGACATGCGACATCTCTAACCCTAACATGTAACGGAAAAAAGCACACACGCAGGCACGCACACACACACAAACACACACACACACACACACACACACACGCGCACACACACACACACACGCACGCACGCACGCACGCACGCACGCACGCACGCACGCACGCAGACACGC